TCGATAAATCTTTCCCCAGAGACGTAAATTAAAGTTTGAAATTTGCACGAGAAAACCGAATCCGGCGTTAGTTTTGAGATACAATCAAGTTTTAACAGAGTTTTTTTTTGAAAAAATCACAAAAAATTGAATTTTTGTATGGGAGCCATGATTTCAGGCTGCCGTAATGACGTGAAACTTTGTACAGGCTATTTTTTACACAATAAAATAACATTCTGAAAGTTTGAAATAATTTCAATCAAAATTAGGAGTACCTCAACAGGAGTACCTTTCGTTTTGGCACAAAAACGAAAAATTTGTATGGGAAGCAACCCTACTTTTGATTGAAATTATTTCAAATTTGGTGATATTATGTATTTTGGCACGAAAATAAGATTCACAAGTTTCCACAGTGATTAAGTCATGTAGTTAGGGCGTTTTGTTGACTCGAAATTGATCGACTTTCTTTCCAAAATGTATGCTTGCCAAGATGCTTGCAGTAACTTAATCAGTTAATAACAATGAAAACTTGTGGATCTTATTTTTGACTCAAAAACGGAAATTTTGTATGGGAGGTACCTTCAATTTGTATTAGAATTGCCTCAAACTTTCGGAATGTTATTTTTTGAAAGAAAATAGCCTGTTTACATATTTTGAATTATTTATGCGTCAATAGTCTATTAATTGGCCAAAAAACTTTACTGCTCTCGGAAATTAGAATTCGGTAGTTATTACTTTTGAATTAGTACTGCACTACCAGTGAATGTTCAATATCTTTTGGAAAATAAATATTCGTTCGGTAAAGAAAGAAATTTGGGAACAGTGCGGAAAAGTTAGACTTACGGATGTAAGTTCCTTTTTATTTTTATTAGAGCAGTGCTGCCAACATGTGTTATGAATTCAAAAGTTATAAATGTAAAGTAGCGTCGAGAGAGTGTTATAGAATTTATTTTATATAAAGTGAAAATTTAATTTTTTTTCATTTTGATTTTTTTAAAATGTATTGATTAATTAATGTGGTTGATGTAACATAACTTTTAATAATATAGTGTGGTTATGTTAATCACATATTTTCTTCAATTTATTATTAATTTAATATTTACGAATATTTTTCACCAGGGACTGGTTCGCGCATATTTCTATGCCTGATAGCTATGCTAAGCATAGCGGAGACGCAAGCCGCAACGCACCCATCGCCATTCGATTCGAGCTATATTGTATGCGTACGTCTCTCAATGCACGGTCGCCTGCATACATGTTCGTTGTATTGTTCATATAGAGTGAACGGCGATGCGTCGGTTGCGTTTGCGGATATGCTTGGCATATCTATGCTACCTAGCGTATTTAGGCGAGCATAGAAATATGCGCGAACCGGTCTCTGTTTTTCACACCAAATTGTACTAAATGAAAAAAGAATAATTTCAATTACAAACGATCGCGAAATATTGAAGAAAACTTTTTAGGAATAAAAACGAATTCATTTGCTTTAAAAACGCCATTGCAACATTTGCGTAATTGAAAATGAGGCTATGTTGCACACTTTTTGATTTAGTTATTTTCGAATTCCAATCGCACAAAAATGAAAATCATATTATTGTTCACTTAAATTAACATTTAACCATCCGTTTAGCACTACTTTCTGTTGTCATATACGTAGCGCTTGGGTCTGGCCAGACCCACATACATTTTATATGAAAAGTGACGCAATTTATAATCTGTTACCAGTAAAAATCCCCGGATTTGGAGAAATATTTGCTTCAAGATACTGTATGTGGTAGATGGGTCCAAGATATGACATTTGGGACAAAAAAAGTTCCCCAGATTGATATGGGACTAGATATGACCCTTGGTAGTTCCAAGAACCCCAATATTCAGGTGAATATGACATGAATATTTCTGAATATTAAAGCAAAAAACTATCAATCGATTTTTCTCTCTTTTCCGATGGGAAAATCGCAAAAATAACGAAATTGCACATCCCCTTAGGGGAGTGCTCAACTTCCAGAACACTTTGGACCAGGTCGGATCCATCTGCTCCACATGATTCACTTCCAGCCCATATATATCATTTCACTTTTCCATATAAATGCAGTTTACCCTAGGGGGATCCGACTTATACGAATGATCCATATGCGAGCGAATTTTTCCTAAATATTTTGCAAATGGCAACGAATGGTCGCAAATGTTTCATACAAATTTTGCGAATGGTGGCGGATGTTTCATACAAATTTGCGGACGGTGTCGAATGTTTCATACACATTTTGCGGATGGCGCATTTGAAAAGTCATATTTTTACATTCAAAAAGTCAAAGTGACAGAGATTCAAGCCGAATGGATATTTTTTTGGTAATATTGAGTAAAAATTTTCTAAAATGGTAAATAAATCTTTGCCACTCGTAATATAATCACTGTAAACGGTGCCTTGAGAAAGGTTTTTATTTTCATTGACGTAACTTTCAATTTCTTTTATATTATCTGAATTTATTTCTAAAATCTCACTTTTCGAATCGAATACGGCTTCTAAAATAATATTCAACAAATAATCTTGTATTTTTTTCTTCAACTGTTTTTCAAATTTAGTTGAGAACAATGACAATGTGTTTGAAGCTGCCACGACAAACTGAACACAGCAATGTGTATGTACAAATATCACACGACAGTTTGTCGCATCTAGCAAGACGTATGCGGCATTCGCGAATGGTTGCGAATGAAATGTACGAATTTTCATAGATGTTGATGCGGATGAATATACTTTACTTCGTATATTTCATGTATGAATAGGAAAATTTTCATATATTTCCTAGATACAACAATACCATAACCTATAATATAATATGAGATGAAATGAGACATGAGCTGGAGTGGTATTTATTTGTAACACATATGTACAAGGGGCTTATGATTGACTCGAATCAGCGTTGACTCGTGAAAGTCTCATACAAACTGCTCACAAGTCACATCATACATAACATACACAAAATGTATGGCTCTAGCGCGAGTCACGAGTCAATCATTAATGTCAATTTCAAATAACATCAACATTTAATTGAAGACATATAATTTTTCTAGCATCCAGAGGAATCATATTAATTCTCTCAAAAATTTCCACTGTGTCAAAGCAATTACGTAGCATAGATCACAAACACAATAAGATAAAAACACTTCTATCACAAATCAAATGAAACAGTAATGAGGAACGCATTATAAATATCACATCTTACCTCAACAAAGGACTCTGTATTCTAAATCGAATGATGAAATTTATTTCCAATGTGACATCAAATATTTTTCTGTTCGAAATGTTGTTGGAATATCCACAGTAAATTTTATCAACACTCTGTTATTTCGAAATTAAAACAAAAATGAACACAAAACCAACTGTGAATATATCCATTCCACAGCAAACAGCGAACACACATAATTGTTGAAATTGAAATGACAATAAAACCAATTGATCGCCCAAAACACGCTTCAAACACTCTCATATAATTCTCAAGAAATCCTATCGAAAATTCAAAATAATAATTCCACAAATAAAGAAAATTAAATGCAATAAATGACGTGTAAAAGAGTTCTTTTGCAGAATTTTAAATTAAATTAGACAAATCTTTTTCCGAATAAATTTTCAATTTAAAACTTCATGTATTGGGTTGTGTTCACATTCTGGTGGTCATTTTCGTGTCAAATGGAACGGAGATTATGTGCATAGATTTCACGAATTCCAATGGAATGGATCCACTTGTTTCTTTCACTTCCAATAATATTTCATTTGACAACATAATGTGAACACAACCATTAGGTTTTAAATTGAAAATCTAAATCTTACGCTCAAATAAAAAAATAAACAATTTATTCGGAAAGAGATTTGTCTAATTGGTGATTATGGGCTTTCTGAAAATACTCAAATATTGATTTGTAATATTTAAATGAAACATGTAAAAACCTGCAGTAAAGAACCTTACTCAATCTAAACTATCTGAACCAGAAATGTTACACTAATGACTCAGAATTTGACTGGTTTTTTGTATTTGTAGGGTTTTTGAATGCTTTTTACAAAAGCTTTATGACATACGTATACACGAAGCTTACCATCGGTGGCATTTCGTTTGCTTGTAGTATTTCAAGTTCAACCCATCCATTATAGCAATAAGTACTAATTAACAAATTGAAAAATCACGCGACTTTAATAGAAACATTAGCTTTCATGATTAGTTAAATAATACCTTGCCAGGTCGTTGTTCCCATATGTTAATAAATGCGTGACTCTACCTACTGCCAGTTTTTTGATGAATATCAATGGAGTATAGATACCTTTAAAAAGTACTCTTCAAACAACTAGTGAGTACCTGCACTGATTCCTGTATATATTTTTTCAAAATTCGCACCTGAATACAAGAAAGGGCACCGCTTACAAGAAAAGTTCCCATACCTACGTGGTGCTTATAACAGCTCTGTTTGAGAATAAGCGTTTTTTTGCTGATTAAACTAATATTCGTCCAAATTGATACATATTTGACTTTCAAAATATTCGGTGACATCCCCAATCTCTTTTATTTACTCAAATGACTTCATTTCATACTTACAATTTATTTGTCTTCAAACTAACTTTGATGAACTTCAATAATCGCGTTACTAGCTTTCTTTCGGTTACTCATTCTTTCTTTCGGGATTTTTCAACTGGGGAAGAAGAATGATGAAGAGGCAAATGAGGAGGAATTTTTTTTTAACCATAACATTTTTGTTATAAAAATAGTTTTTTGATCGAAACAACTTTCCTCCTCGCTTGAGGGTCTTCTTCAGCTCTCTCTTCCTCCTAATTTGCCTCCTTCCCATTCCTCTTCCTTAGAGTAACAATCTCTGAGTATCCTGCCAGTTGAGTTGCTACCAGCGGACCCCTCCTCCTCACCTCCTGACCTCCTCACATCAATCCTCTTCCGCAGAAGAACGACTGTGCAGTTACTCAATTGAAAACGATTAAGATTTATAATATCAAGAATGATTTATTAATTTGATATGTGCGTACACTACATTCTCAATGTTATAATAATAGTTTTGCAGCTCAATTAGATAGTATTTGAATAGTTCATTTGGCTCTGTTATCTACTTCAAGAAGAAAAACTGAATTCAATTCAACAATTAGATATCGAATTACAGATTCCATCCATTCCGTTGGTTTTCACTTCGATTAAAATTCGATGCGATTAAAATGAACATTACATTATTGCTAATTCATTGCATTGTTAAAATGTTGCCTTTTTTATTCGACAAGCATAGCGTTTATTCTTTTCAAAGAAAAAAAAATATTTTAGAAATGAAAATTGTGAACGTTCATAACGTTGTACATATGCTTCTGGGTTATGTGTATTTAAAAAGCTCGTGTTGTTTTGAATGATGATAGACGCGTAATACATCAATTTTATTACAAGAACACATTGTTTTGTGTATCGTGTATGAATATAGCTTGTTTTTTGTTTAACTAGCTCGATTTTATTCCCTCTATTTGAGTTCGACTCGTTTTATGTTTGCTTAATAGTTGTTTCCATTTCGATAATTATTTATTAATATTGAAACATCAATCAAATGTGTGCGTATATGTGTGTTTAGTGTAAATAATCCATATGGGGTGGCGGTATACCAGTGTGTAATGTGACCATTGTTCCACGATTCAAACTGACAGCTGGATAAAATACACCGTACAAGTCACGGAATGCAATTGAACCTTGTGGCATTTGATTGACGAGAAAACTTAATGTGTGTCGATCCAAATCTAACAGAATTCCAACGGTGCTTGCATTCGCTATGCCACCTTCAACACGGCGCTCGTGCATCGAATTGTGCTGGAACCACGAACGCTTATGGTCAATGTACATCGCAAAGCCTTTCTCATCTTTACCTGATTTTGAAGAAGAAAAATTAATTTTCAGTCGTTTTTTGTCTATTTTTGAGGTCTTTTATAGTAATAAAAAATTGCAATTTTTGTTGAACGAAAAAAAATCTTTCTTAAATTCAATATTTTCTTTAAAAATGATTTTTAATACTTTTCACCATAAAAATGTGAACATTTCGCAATCCGAGAGACTTTGAGTGAATTTGAATGCTGTATGAGAATTAAAGACATGATCACAGAAGGGAGGGGATGAAAGCCCGGATTGAACTACACCCCGCAAGAGATGTGAAAATTGAGAGTTAAAGGCCCCAGTGAAGACTCTTCAATTTTTTTACGGGCGATGGACCCTTTTAACTTACAAACCGTGCACTTAATGGAAATTCGAAATTTTCATCATTATTTGCACTTTGTTCAACATTTGGAAAAGTAATTTTTTTTAAAGTTTCCTCAAAATTCATAAATTGGCCGAGTGAAAATTCAATTAAAATGCATTTGATTCCAAATGAATGTTGTGCATTAAACTAATTCTCGAAACCACTTCAAATGCATCGAAATTTCCATAGCATTCTCTTACATATTTGTGCTTTTGTTCAAATCCAAATGTATTACATTTTCAATCAACGGAATGTTCGTCTGAGAACTTACCAAGCATTTGATCTCTGGCAACATCAATTCGTGCAATGCCAAATGCTGGATCCGTATCGGCAGTATACTTATTAACAGTAAATTCCCAATAGTGAATGCCGCGCGAGAAACCAACTGAACCTAATGCAACCCGATGATCCCATCCATCGACTGAAACCGTTGATAAATCATTGCAAAACGTTAAACCGCTACCATTTGCATCGCTCAATTCCGGATCGAATGTAAACCATGCGACTGTAAAGTGAATAGATTTCAGAATTTGGTAGGAAATGGAATTTTTCGTCAATTTCATTGAGTTTTCTTACCTTCGGCCGTTTGCAGGCAAATCGTTTCAGAATATTCACCCTCACAAAAACTGTTAAACGATTTTACACGTGCATTATACATTGAATTAAAATGTAAACCATCGACCGTGCAGATAGTTTCCTTTCCACAATAGACCTCCTGTATGGAGAGAGAGAGAGAAGAGAATGTAATTTTTAGAAAATCGAAATACCAAAGAAAGTGGGAAAGAGGATCAAGATAGAAAGAAGGGACAGCGGAAATGAATTGGGCATTTTTAGTGGCAAAAAATTATTGAAGATTTCAACAAACCCGAAATTCACCACCACTGCCGTCGTCTAATTCAAGCACGTATCCATCATTTGACAATGGATTTAACGCTTTCCAAGCCACCGTCACTGAATTATTTACGGTCGAACATTCCTCGTGAATTATCGTTGGTATTGATGGAACTGTGTGAAAATATGAATCAAGAATTGAGCATGATTGACGATTAAAATCGGTTTTGCGGTTAAAACAGTTGAATGAATATAAAAAATGTGTGATAAAATTACAGATATGAACTGAATGAGATAATTTTGAATGAAAGTACCTGTTTGAACACGTTCGTCACAGTCTCGGCCAGCTAAAATGAGTAAAATTCGGAGAAAATCAATTAAATTCGAAAAAAAATATTTATATAGACCATCAATGGTGTCTAGTCGGTGATGGACTCATTAAAAATGCATTAAAAACACCCATTTCATGGAAATGAAAGAATAGAAAATGTCACACAAAAATCTTTCGAAATCGTTTCGGCCTCTCAGCCTTCCAGCCCTTAGTCTTTACTTACATTTAATTTGAATGAAATTAAGATTGTCAATGGCTCGTTTGACTGATAAATCGTCAAGCGTGAGATCGATGATGGGTGAAACGCGTGGCGCTGCATTTGTAACCTCTTGATGCCACCTCACATCAGTGTCGGCAACGCGATTTATAAGTGCCGAACCCACCTGCGAAACCATAAACATTCTGATTAATTAGACGAAATTCGACGAAAATTTATGGTCGACCATTCAAATGGAAATGCGTCATACCATCTGTTTGGCTTAAAATTCACAAAATACCTGTAAGAAGGCTGCATTGTCAGTCTCTTTGAGCGTTTCAATACAAAATTGTATCAAACCTGTAGTCTGTTGCAATTTGCTTGTACAATTAATTTGCTGCTCCTGTGTGCGAAAACAAAAGAAAGCGAAAACCAATTAATACCATATGATGCCCCATCAGATACGAGAAGTGAACACATTTTACGCGGCCTTACCTTTAGTATACGCAATTTATGCTCTTTATCCATTTCGATGGTTTCTAACAGGTATTCACGACGCTCTTGAATCATTTGTATTAGGGCCTCACATTGCATTATTATCAATTGCTCGTATTCATGACACGATTCCTACGCACACAAACACATACACACATACAGACAATGTCAATTAAATTATATGTATACATTTAATGAAATGCACACCTCGTGCCGGCAGAAATTAATTAGAGAAATGAAAACGGGGGGAAAAAAATACACAGACATACAGGATAGAAATAACATAAATTACCGTCACTTTATCACTCATTCCTTTGAGCCGTTGAATGAATTCCGTTGTTGATCTAGCTTTCTCCGATAATTGCTGCAGATTATGCGAAAGTTCCGTCTGAATGAATGAATAAACCAATGGAAATTAGTCAAAATTACCCACAAACACATACTATGTGTATACAATTCACATCTAATTTGCATTCAAATCTAATCAAGCAATCATCAACTGAAATCGATTTCTGCATACTGGATTCATGTGCATGTCCGTATTTGTGTACATCTCTTACTTTGGACATTTCTGTATCCCATTTCTATTCACATTTCTATCTCTCTCATTCCTAATTTCTTTCTCTCCCCTCTCTCTCTCTCTCTCTCTCTCTTCCTTTTTGAAAAGGGTGAAAAAAGTTCGTAAGATCGATGGGATGATTGAGATAGAAAGAGAAAGAGGGTAAAAAAAGGGAGTGAGAAAGCATGAGATAGAAAGAAAGAGAGAGTGACATAGATAGAAAAAGAGTGACTCCCCTCTCCTCCAAAAAGAAAATGGAAAACGAGAAAGATGTAGAAACCTCAACCAAAATCATCAATAAAATAGCCGATTTCATTCGAATGATAGAATGCCTTTTATTGATTGAAGTCGAGTGGAACAAATTTGTTAACGGATACATTCGTATATTTGAATTTCAATCATCTTGTTCCAAAAAGTCCAAATCAATTCGACCATTCAATGCAATTGATATAAACGTTTATTACACCACCATTCAGGGTAGACAGTCTTCGTTTCCATTCTATCTCAAGCACAAAGCACCACTTGATAAAATTATTCAATAGGTGCTATACAATTGTTTACACACAACTATCATCAACACAATGACGATGATTTACACAACAAATACACAAGAGGGCAGAGTATTTTGCACTTGAGATACTCAATCCGAAGAAAAACCATTTTGAATCGATTTATTCAAGAAATTTTCAAATCTGATTCGATTTTGTTGGGGTTTTATTCAACGAATTTATGAATGGCATAATGTCCTTTCTCAACGCATTAAAAATGGATCTTGTGCTGCGGGCGTTATACCACAGATAAGGCATTGAATTCATGTTGTCTGAAGTTGAACATAGGCTTTTCTTAGAAAAAAGAGTCCTTGTCGAGTATTTATCTCATTTTAAATCGAAGAAGAGATCGAATGAAATGAAACCTTTTGATAATTTGAAGAGGTAAAATATATATTATTCATTTATAACTCGAAGTTTTTATGAACATTTTTCGAATTTTTTTGTTATTTTTCCCATTTTCACGCATTTTTGTCAATTTTTCGATATTTCCCTTTTTTTTACTTTTTTCAAACTTTTTCTTTATTTTTTCAACTTTTGAGAGAAATTGTTCATTTTTTCCCAAATTTCAATTTTTGAACTTTTTTTTCATTTCAATTTTTCGGTCTCTTCGAGATTTCTCTTCTTTTGAAAAGACTGTTTTCATTTACAACGTTTATTACTATTCCGCACACACCTATTGTGTAAGGTAAAGTATTGGAATCGGTCGAACAATTAACAGCCGCAAAAAACATGTTTTCTGGGTGTTTTAGGAGCTAGCGTAATTCAAAATCTGGAAAAGTAATTCAAAATCTGACTTCACAGGATGATTGGGGTGCCGAGGAATAGAAACCATTAGATTTTGACCGACTTTGGTTGACAGGGTAAAGTGTCATGTCTGGTGTGATGCCCATGGCCATACATGGGAAAAATTCAATTTTTCTTCCAAAAGTGATATTTAATGTATACTTAAACACTCAAAAATGTGTATTGGGGGGTTTTTGGGTACGAGAAAACCGAATATGACGTTAGTTTTGTGATGCAATCAACTTTCGAAACACTTTTCATACAAAAAATTCAAAAAATTTGGATTTTTGTATGGTATGATATCGCAATGAGCTGAAACTTTGCACAGGCTATTTTTATCACACAAAAATAACATTCTGGGGGTTTGAAGACATTTCAACGCCTCCCGAACAAAATTTTGGATTTTTCGCTCAAAAACGAAATTTTGTATGGGAAGTACCCTTAATATGCATTGAAATTTCTTCAAACTTTCAGAATGTTAACTTTTTGTGAAAAAAATAACCTCTGCAAATTTTCACATGATTACGATATCTTATAGGCATGGCTCCGATACAAAAATTCCCATTTTTAGTAGTTTTTGTATGAAAAGTGCTTTGAAAATTATTTGTATCGTAAAACTAATGTCAGATTCAGTTTTCTCGTGAATTCTATGAGTAAAAGGTTTGTAATAAATGCATGTTGTGGATCACAGTGCGGAAAAGTTCATCTTACGGATGTAAGACATTTTATTTTCATATAAAGTAGTCAATATTATTTTGTGCCTTTTTCATCATTGCTTTCTGTTTGCCACTCATACGTATGAAAATGACATTTCGGTGACTATGGAAAATTCAATAAAAAAATTGTGTTTATTTAGCCAATCAAAAATGTCCTTTTTCAATCAAAATAAAGTGGTTTTGGAAAATGCGGAAAGAATATGCATATTAAATATGCCTTTCATGTTGTAAATTATGGAAATTTCGTCAACATACTCTTCTATATATATTTACAAATAAACCGAAACCTTGTTATTATATTTTCGTCAACAAATTGATTTTTTTATTCCAATTTGTTTGGAAATGACAAAAAAATGCGTGTCTGATTTCGTTGAGTGTTGAAATGAGTTCTTGGAAATAAATCATAACGAACAATAGTTGTATTCCATGAAACTTGATTGTTTGAGAAGATTAAAAAAAATGTATTGAATCGATTTGTTTGATTCTATAAAAGTGTCTGCTAGTTAACTTCAAACGCACCCGACTACAAAACGAAGAGTTGAATGGATTAATCGTCGTGCTATATTTATATAGATTTTGGGGTCATTGAACAATAAAGTCCCACAACAATAGAGTTTGATCGCACACAATATATTCATTCCGTTTTATATGCACTGATTTATATTTCCATAAATATCTTTTTTTTTCTAGTCTACGTTTCACTGTCATTAATGGAAGCGATGGTGTTAAAATGTAAAACAAAATGAAAAAACCCCGTCATTCGTGTCTTTATGAGTTAAAAAACGTGAGATAAAAAAATATATATTCATCAATCATGTTAAACACGTTGTGCACTGCACTGCGTGACTCCGATTTAATATTGTAATTTAAATGAAAATGGGTGGAAAAAAGAAAGGGGGTAAAAAAAATCAATTTACACTGTTTGCAAGTGTAAAAAAAACCCTATTTGAATTTACCTTTTGTGATTTGCAGATTGTGGCGATTGATTGAATTTCATGTGACTGATGTCGATTATCATTTAAACATTGTTGGCATAAAGCTATTTTACACGTTAAACAAAATACGGATAATGGTTCGGTGCAATGTTCGATGCAAACCGATTCACGAATCATTGTCGATGCGGCCATTCCACCACCGCGCGGTACAATCAATGTATGTTTTGCTAAAGGTCCACGAGGCGGATGACAGAGATCACGGCACAGTTCACAGTACCGTATTTCGCACTGTTCACATAAAACGGTCGCTATTTTTGGTTCAATTTCACACATTTGACATCGTAACGCATCACGTTCACAAAATCGATCGATTATTGATTCCATCACGGTAAATTTCGGTAAATTTTGTGCACCACCATCATCAAAGAACACAATTTTCCGGCATATTGGACATGTTAATGAATAGACAGCACCGCCAGACGGTGGAAATAATAATGCTTGCAAATTTGGTGTACCAGCATAAGAACTTGGACGCGATGTACAAATCACACCCGAATCGGCTTCACTTAAAATGCTTACTTTATCGGCGGTATCTTGATCGGATGAAATACTTTCTGATGTACTTGAATTTGCCGTACTACCACCGGACGATGAATTGGTTTGCGGCAATGTAGATGATGCTCCGACTGAAACTGTTACTGATGGATTTTGTGATGGCTGATGACTTGCTGGCACCTGATGCACTTGAGCTGTTACAATTGTGGTCGAGCTATTTGTGTTGGTGGTGGTGGTGGCAGCGGCGGTGTTGGTGTTGGTTGTGTTATTGTTATTATTCGCAATTTGTACCTGAGAGTCCAATGCACATGTTAAACACAATCCGTGATAGCATGGCAATAGCACTGGGGATGAGTAGAGCTCTTTACACAACGGACACCGTAATTCTTCCTCCATTGCACACTTTAAACACTTTATTCCGTTAATCGAACACTCCTTTTTTCCCTTTTTTTTGTATACACAAGCGCCGAACACAAATTTGACACACAAAATTTCACTTATTTTGGTAATTTACTTCCTGGTTCACTCTTTTCCGGTTTCTATTACTCTTTTTGGCTATATTGCCTTTTTGTCTTGAACACTCCGTTTTACTTTAACGCCATATTTGACGCTAACGCTCTTTTTCTCTTTGGCGAATTTTCTGTGTCTGTCACCCCAACTGCCTTTTACGTACTTTCTTTATTTCTGTCTCTCTCTGTGAAAGAATTCTTTCTATGTCTCTAGTTCTTTTTTTGCTTTTTCCCTTCAATGCACAGGACTCTTGGGGATCGAAAATTCAATTTTGTTGTTCGTTTGGCTAGTTCGTCTGTTGAAGCTGAAAAAATGTCGAATGTTTGTTGTTTTTTTTTTTTTTTGTTCGTGCAAATATTTGAAATTTTCAACACCCATATGTCATTTAAAAGTATGTGTGCTGCAATGTTTGTGTTTGTTATTTAACTGTCCGTTTTTTTCCCTCTACTGTTTACAATTATTTGCACTCATCCCACTTGAACGCATGATTATTATGGACTTTGTCGATGTCGTCATTTACACTTTTCCCGTTATAATTTTTGTGCGTGCACCAAATGTGTTGTGAGTATATAAATTTATTGCTTTGCCATAGCTACACTTGAAAACACCGAAAAAACACGCACACACACACACTGCTGATGAAATATTCCGAGCATTTCAACTATTGAACAGCCGAAATGAAAAAAAAATTCAACGCAGAACATTCCCATTCCCGCTGCATGTGTTCGAGTTTATGGTTTTCTTTGGATTGTATCCAGTACATATATATCCTTTTCACACTAAATTTATGCCAGAAAAACCGAACGCAATTATATCGGGGAGTGATGGAAGGAACCCTCTTCTTGTTCGTAACGCATTTACTCAAATTCATTCGACAAACAGATCTGAAACATGCAAAATACTACTTCATCCATTTTTCGGTAGAGAGGCTACGATGCGAGACACAGAACCACACACAAAATACCAAAATCAAACAAAAACACCAGCGTAACACAAACACAAAACTTCGTCTTTATTTTAATAACTTTGAGATTTATTTGTTCTGATAAATTTAGTAATCACCATACAAAACTAATGACATGTTATTTTTGTGCTGTGGAAAAATCTATAAGTTCTTTTTTTCTTTTGGTATTTAAAGTCTATTTTTATCAAACGAATAAATGGTATTCACTTTGGCAAATGAAATACGACCAATTCGATTCACGACTGTGCACAAACTGAAATATTGATGAGAATGAATCGAAATGGATGGCGATAACATCAAAATGAACTGAGATTTTCATTGCACCATCGACATGCGCACCGGATCGAAGAGAGAATATTTTTTTATTTTCGACCAAGTCGTATAAAAATTCTCCCTTCAGTCATTCACCCCGTTTTAAATATACAAATTTTTTAGTACGAATAATGAATGCTTTATATGAGGGTTGCCATTGTGAATAGAGACATACACCCTTGTGTAAAATGAGAGGGGTTGATTCACAATGGAGGTGGAGTGCACGTGCATTGGTTCCATGCATTGTATGTGGACTTTCCACTCTTTGATTTTCTTGTAGTTAAGGCACTAAGTCGAGGGATAAACCAAAGGATAAAGTCATCTAGCGGTTGAGAGGTGAAATACACATTTTAGAACTGGAATTAATAAGGCTCACAATAATGCGGATAGTATTGGTATTCAGGCAGCGATGTAGTGAATAAGAATAATTAACAATAAAGAAAAGGGTTCTTGAATGTGGCATGGTTATTGGCACGGTAACAGCACGGTTAGGTATGATAAGTGCATGTGTGCTAACAATCGTTTTCGATGATGACATAGAGAGAAGGAGAGAGATAGAGAGAGAATTCTTACGTATTTCAAATAAAATGTTTTCTCGATGAACTTCCCAGTGTGCAGTTGGTATCAATTCAATTTTGTCATTTTTTGATTTACACCAAGTTTCCGTTTGCTTTGTCGTCTTTCCTGTTATAAATTTAAAAAAAAATCAAAAGACGAAGATTTTTGTGAAAAAATTTATTGATTCAAATTGGTATATTTCGAGAACATTCAAGCGCTTATAAATAAAAGGTGAATCATGTTGGTTGCTGACGAATTGATTACCAATACTGCAGAAAAAACACAGCTTAATTCCCATTGATATGTTAATAACACATTTTCCAAAATATTCATTGAAAAATTTGAATATGTTGACCACTAACATATCGATTTTGTCAAGTTGCCTTAGTCAACACTACTATATCAAACCATTTTCGATTTGAATCCAAAACATCTCGCTTAAGTTTAGATGCATGGCAAGTAATTCTCACTTAAACTCGATCTTTAGCTAATGCCACAATCGAAATGTAATCGTTCATATCAAAATTATTCGAAAGGCATCCACACT